ATTATGGTTAAGTAATTTCATAATATATGCTAATATTACTTATTATGGTTAAGTAATTTCATAATATATGCTAATATTACTTATTATGGTTAAGTAATTTCATAATATATGCTAATATTACTTATTATGGTTAAGTAATTTCATAATATATGCTAATATTTATTTCTTTCCTTCAATTTCTTTATTTTCTATCCTTCACATTTTTAATTTTTATATTTCCCATGATAGAAGTTGATCAGTTTCATTCATTTCACAACAACTGTGACATGTCAGCAAGACATTCCATACATTCCCGATGTTTATATTGGAAGATAAATTTGATACTTTGGATTTCGATCAGATCCCCTCAATCAATTTTCTATCCGCTAGTCATCATCGTAAAACTATAATATTACGGTAGCGTTTTCAATGATGATCAACAACAGGTTTAGGTATGTGTATACGGATATATATGTATGTATGAATGTATGTATACATATATTTATGTATGTATGTATGTATGTATGTATTATGTATGCATGTATGTATGTATGTATGTATGTATGTGTGTATGCATGTATATGTATATGTTTGTATATACGCATATATCAGTAAGATTCATCTTTTCTTAAAAAATAGCCAAAATGCCTTGACATTCATTCCCATGCACCCAAATACATCCATATAAACAGGTAGGGTAGATGATGAAACCGGTTTGTCATTGTAGCGAACCTGTTATGATACTATTATTTTCCCTCTTGTCCTATTCATTGAGATATGGTCATCTCCCATTATGGTGGTCATTACTATGTTATTGACCGCATGATATTCAATTCAAATCGAGCGCGAATCATTCGAAGATGTTATTAGTATGGATGGTATAACAACTTTCTACCATTTTCATTTTATCCCTTTCCTCTTTCTCTTTCATCTTCTCTTTGCGATTAATTATTATTATTATTATAGATGAATTCATTTCTTGTCAATTTCATTTTCCTTTTCTCTTTGTTCTTTTAAATTTTAATTATTATAAATTGAAAAGTAATGCGTTTGAAGAAAGAAATCATATATTTTTTCACATATTTAACGATTTTACATATCTTAAAAACAAAATTAAGTTTTTAAGAAATATTGAACGGTGTAAATTTAAATTTGAAAAGAGTTTTTGAATAAGTTGTCACAATTACATATATTTGAAATTTAATCCCAAAATATTATTGAAATTCGAGTTTTCGAATTTGATTAAA